ATAAAAGAAAAGGATGATACAGGGTTCCCACAGCTTTTCACCAACAATATTCCATGGCTACTACATTATAATCGATACATGAATGTCCGAGGCCTCTAAATTATCAACATGATCAAAACCAGTTGACAATTTTCTACAAGCCCTCTGCCCTCTGATTGATAGTCCATACTTTTTTTTAAGCAAGTATCAGTTATAATAATAAAACTCTACAAAAATGCCCACATTTTGGTTGTGGTACACGTCTTTCTCCAGCTAAATCTTTGTTAAAAATTATTAAATAAACTTAAGCATAACTTTTAAATATAAATTTTTCAAGATGAACTGGCTTTTGAGGGACGTTTATGTGTACATCTCTCAATTATCATTATATTGCATTGCATTATATGTTTTGCCCCCACAATAAAAACTACAGAGGTTTAAACATAAAACTAAACATTTAAATGTCATCTTACTATTATTTGGAGATATAGAGTGACAAGTGATATTTATATGCATTTTTTTTGTAAGTGGTCTGTTATACTGTCATAGAACTCTCATTTATTTACATAGCAAGATATCAGAATTTCATCTTACTTTTGGGCTTTATAAATACCATCTGCAACAAACTGCATAATTTGCTCAGTTTGGTCCACTGAATTAAATGTATGTGCTTTTTTCCTCCATGACTAGAGCTCCATGTTCTCACTATATCATACTATATGGGATACATAAGCCTGATGTATCAAATATGTTACAGAACAGAAAACACACATATGCAAAAAAAAAATTTTTAGATATTCTTTTATATTTTGTGTAAAGGTTCACTATCCAGGCTATACAAATTCCAAATATGTTTTAGTTTTCCATGACTGTAGGAATGATGATTACATAATAAAAATAATTAATCAGTAACATCAGTACAGTTAATATATTTGGGCAGGTGACATGACATTTCAAGCAGTTTCAGCAAAATGTTTTTTAGCAAAATCATGTACAATATAGAATATCCATACTATAAAAAATATTTCCATCAAAGGACCATTTAAAGTGGTATAACAGAATGTTTAACTAGCAAACGTGAAAAAATGTGATTAAAATGTCAAAGAAAGAAAGAAAGAAATGTTGTCACAGGACCAAGATATACACTTTCCCTATATGTAAATATTTAACCAATCTTAATATTTAATATAAAAATCTCCATGAGCTTGTCTGTTATATGTCAACAGCCCATTTACCATATCAAATGCCCGGTGGTCAAGAGCAATAGCATAATATGCAGGTAAATATCCAACACACAGTTACAGATTATCAGGAATATTAGATGGTTCCCTCACGGACTCATAAACATGGCCGCCGTTCGCCTACAGCAGCAGCAGGGCTGGGCCTATTCACACGCTCACTACACTAGTAAACACATCTGACAAAATGACACCCGACCGTTATGACATATCAAAACGCATGCATTGACACATTACGCCTGTCTGTTCCTGTTGAAATGTATGTATCACTTATGGGCGTGACATCTGTTATTAAGCATTGGTTTTATCGACCGGCTGTGGATTACAACGAATCTGACAATGCAGCACTTATTTTTGAAGTTCAAGTCTCTTGAGTATGACAGAACAATGAACAGTCCGCTATTCAATAACATGACACCAAAAAAGATGATGTTTTAATCCTTGCCCTTGTAGTCATTCCCATGAAATTCAATCTGCCGGAGAAAGCATAAGTATGCCTACTTCAGGAAGGAAAAAGAACACTTACTCTTCCATCTATTTTTATAGAAGCTAATGACACTAAAACAACAAAACATTATCTGTTTCAGTGTTTAATAAAGGAGACTAGATATTGACAACATATCCGGCGTTGCCATAGCTGTACTGTCATAATGGTTTGCTACAGAGATAAAACTAATCAAAACGTTAAATTAATATAAAAAGCACCATCTCAAGTGTTACAGTGTAATCTTATGATGTCGCCTCCTTTATTGATCTCACAAAACGATGTCCGATTTGAGAACAACTCGTTCTTTTGAATCGGATCTGTACTGGGAACCGGTTCTCCAACCGGTATGAACGACTCTGTCGCGAGTACAATCGGTCCGAGCGGTTCTGGAGTCAAAAATCACGCACTGACTGAATCAACCCAGAATGGTTTTTATTTCACTTAATCCGTAATCAGCCGAGAATGACGACTGAGATGACAGTACGAAAGTAAATCGAGTTTACAAACCACTGAATCGGTCTGAGCCGGTGCTGTTCAAAAGAATCGATTCGTGGAAATGTGCCGAACTTCCCATCACAAATTCGGACGTCTTCCTATAAACTCGGCGACTTTCTTTGCATAGTCCTCATATGGTTTTGTCATTTTTAACATTTATTTTCAATTATCAATAAAAAATAATAACATTAAGTGTATAATGCCACAATTAAGTTTAAGGTCAGCTGCAAAAACAGTCAAAACATTTCGGTAAACATCCATTCGCATTCCCAAACGCGACTCGAGAGATGTATGCTCAAACTCAAATGTACAAATATTACAATCATATTTCGGAAAAGACGGCACTTACTGCTATATATCCACAAGCAGAAACGACTAGAACACCATAGAAATCCTGCACGATGCCAATTCTCCAATGACGTCTACAACCAGCAGCAAAAATCAAAAAAGATTGACGGTTAAGTTTCCAATAGTCCCAGTAGTTTTGTTATATACACCCATTATAGCTGCGTCTCATTCTCCAGCGCCGCGCAAGATGCTTGCGTTTCTGATATATTTAGTTAGGCTGATGCTGGTGTCGTTGGACCGCTCCTCTAGTAGGCTTAGGTATGGATGAATGCCTTGATTTACTGAAATGATTACGTCAACTGCCCTGTCAACGTCGCGAATGACGGGCCGTCTGGCCAATAAGAATGAAGTATTGTGTGAGCGATGCGTCGTGTAGCCAATGAGAATGCTGGAAAAACTAAGGTGGGCTATGCAGCTGTGACGCAATACTGCAGGGTCGCTTACGATCCGCTGTGGCGTGGCATCGGACAACAAAAAAGGGAAGAGCGCCGCCTAGCAGAAACATGGATAAAACAGGGCTAGCCGTCTGTAATTTAAGCGCTACCTTAAAAACGAACGAAAAGATGCGATCGTGCCAATGTTCTTTCAAAATTTAATTGTACTAATTAACTTATGTTCTAAAATAGTCGTGAGACTTGAATCCTCTCAAAATACACAACACAATATAAAAAGGTAATTTACTGAGAGCAATTAATTAAAATAGAAGCTGCTTCATCATGTACCACATGTAAAATGTTTTCTATCACTGATACATAATACATAATTATATATTATTTTATAATGTGGCTAAATTAAATTGTGCCCAGGACTATTATAGTTAACTAGTACTAAAAGCATATTTTTACTTGAAATAAACAAAAACCTTAAACTTTCAGTTTTATTTTAAAGATGCAGTCCGTAACTGTTTTGTGTTCAAAATTTACAAATATAGTTAATAGACGAGTACACCATGAATCCATTTTCCAAACCGTGTTTTTGGCTTGTCCTGAATCACTACGGTACACCTATAATAAGTGTTTATATGCGGATTATTTTAGACTGGTTCGGGTAGGTACCGCTGCGGAGTAGCCCAGTACCTGCGTGATTCGTCTTAGACATTAGCTGCGTCCCAAATGACGCACTATACACTATGCACTCATACACTATGTACTTATGCCCTATGTCCTCAACCATGTATAGTATGAATTATATAAGGTTATTTTGTCATTCATAATCGGAGTCTGATAGCCCCTCCCCCTTCGGTACGTAATTAAAGCTGCGACAGTTGAGTGCATGAAGTGTCCAACATTCCACACTTCA